AAATAGTTACGGTCGCAACATCAATAAAAAAATTATTAAGTGAAAAACAATAAATTAATGCAGCATGTCTTTAAATATTTTCCAGGAATATAATATTTAAGCGAAATAAAAGTTTTATAAGAAACAAACAAATATAATTTTCTATTTCTTTTTCACAAGAGATTTGTTTTTTGTTTTTTTTTAAATATTAAATTTGAGTATAGAAAGTAGTGTATAAAATTTGGTTTAGCACAAATAAAACTATAAAATTAATATTAATGTTTAACTAAATATTTTAAAAAGAAATTAAATGTAGAACAAAAAATAAATTTTTTAAAACCCAAAAAATGTATATCGAAGAATCTTAATATAAACTCAAAAAATATTAATTTAGAACTTTAAAGAAAATTCTAATATTTCGATGGATAGTAAAAGTAAAAAGATTTTCAGATTTATTCAACATCTTCAGAATCTTTTGATTGATAAGACTGATTCGCAGGATATTAAAATTTGTTTTTATTTTAAAATTAAATGTACCTTTAATTGCCTTCTCTTAACTACTAATAATGCTTAACAATTGAATTGTTTTTAATATATGTATGTGTGTGTATGAAATCGTCCGACTTCAATCAAGAAAAAAGTTTACTTAAGCGCCAATATACTTATTTACAAAGTTGATCTGGGGGTTAAAACGTTCTACAAATTGCCTTAGTGACATTCAAATTGACGACTACTATTTATTGTTAATCATTTTTTTCTTCACTTTTTTTTTATAAACTTTTCAATTGTTTTGTATTGCAAAAAACATACAAATTAGTTGTAAACTTAATTTTAAATATGCATACATACTTTACAAACATACAGTGGTCATTCTTTAGTGTCTTAACTACGATCTCTAATCAATATATATATATACATATATATTCAAATATATATGTAAAAAAAAATCATCTAAACATCACTGTATATATATATTTATATATATAAGTTTTCCATTTTTCGTTATCAATTAATTAATGAATACATATATATTGCATTTACAAAACACAAAGGTGCGCGGGCCTAGAAAACAAATTGAAGCATGAAATTGGAAGATACGAAGCGATTTTCGACTATTGCATATATAGTGGAAAACAGAAACCACAAACACTTAACGCTTTCGTTACTCTCTTTCTCTCTGTCGTTTTTCCTAATTGTAACAGAATGCATAACAATTTCAATTGTTACTAACAATTGAAGGAGAAATTGTTGCACATTCTAGTTATAGTCTCTACTGCACTTTCAGTTGCACGCCGAGTACCTCGCGCAGTTCGTGCAGCTCCTGTGGTCCCTGCATAAGGCGCTTAACGCCGCGTGGCAAGCCGCGACACGATGCCAAATTAATTGAGCTCATGTGCACACAATTCGTGAGTATTTCCTTAACCGCCTCCTCGGATACAGAAGAGCCGCACAGATTCAAGTGGCTGCAATAAGAGAATATAGAATTGTTATTACAAATTCTTATATACAATATTCAATATTCTAAGACTTACGCCAATGGCGATTCTTTGCCCTTTTCAGCCAGGGCACGCAATGCATTATCTATGGGCTGCTGTACATTTGCCCAGGCCAAATCCAGTTCAATGAGACTATGCGCCCACTTTGACGCAATGAGTTCCAGACCCGATCTAGACAATTTACATACATTAATATTAATATATTATTATAATTAACTCTTGTTCTGATTACCCACCCCATGTCACGTGTCACCGAGCAGCCCGAAAGAAATAAATGCTTAATGTCCCAGGCTGGCAAACGTATTAGGCTCTCGTGTGTTAGTCGTGTGCAATTGCGTACGTCGAGCAGCTTCAATTTGGAACTACTCTTCAAGATGCGCTGCAAATGATCATCACTGATGATACGAGATTCATCAGTCAACGCAGCCACTGAAAGCTCCTCCAAATTGGGAAAACCCGGCGAATCCATCTACAACATAAATCAAGTTGACTTAGAAATTGGCTGAGTACAGTAATCACTCGATACATACAATCTCCTGCATGCTGGCTGGACTCGGCGTAATGTGTGAATTGGTAACGCGTAGAACTTTCAGCTTTTGACACCCATGCTGCAGCTTTTCTATGTATAGCACGCCGTGCGATGTAGCCTGAGTGGTCACATTTGAGAGATCTAAGAGCTCCAAGTTTGGACAGTGCGTCTGCAATTGAATTGATTAGAATGTATGTTATTATAAGTTAACTATATAAATCAAAGCTAAACTATGAGCTATGGCTAAGACTGCATCACATTGTCACTAACAAAGCTTAGTTTTCTTACGCACCGCTAGAACGCCGACAATATTGGGTATGCCCGCCAGACGATTGTGTGCCAAGTAAAGGTGAGTCAAGCGACTGCCCATGGTCTGCAACGCATTGCACAGTGAATTAACGCCCACAGCGCTCTTGCTAGCATTCATCTCGACCTGGAAGACGAATATAAATATTAAAAGTCCCATATGAAACGTTTTATATTGTCCTTTACATTGATTGAGCTCAAGTCTATGCGTTGAAGCTTTTGCATATTATCGACCAGATATGTTAAATGATCTGATGTGAAACCCTTCCAGCCAGATAACGTAATGCCCGTCAGATTGGGACACCCATTTGACAACTTGACCAGAAAACAATTGATATCCGATATTTTCCAATTGGCTGCAATTAACATTAATATCAATTAATAATTGTCTATTATTGAAAACTCCGAAAAATACTTACAAACATTAAGTTCAGTGCACGCACTGCATCGGTTATCCACAAACCATTTTAGTTTGAGCTCCGTCCGATATTTCTCCTTGATCCAGGTGGTCAAGTCCATTGTGCGCCACAGCGTGGGCCTAAGCGAAACCTGTCTCCATAACGAGCAGACACGCCCGAGGCGAAAGAGCGTGGGCAAGCAACCCTCCTTATCGACAACGTGTTCAAAGATCTACAGGAATCAAAAACAAATATTTTTATTAATTGTATAACTTGTCACGTTTCTATGGTCTTACATGAAAGAGCACATCTTCGGGCAAGTCATGACCCCAGGGACTCTGCTCAACTGGCTCGGCATCTGCTTCTGTAGCTGCCGCATTTGCTATTCGCTTTTGACGCTCACTGTTATTGCTACTGCCACCGCCGGCCTTCTTTTTACGTGGCTCGTATTCGCTCTCGTCGCTATCCTGTTGCTTCGGTTTACGTACCCGTTTGCGTGCAGTTTTGGCCGTTGACGTTGCGGATTTCGGTGAAGGTGCTACTGGAGTTGCGATTGCACCTGCAGCTGGCAGCTCTGTCCCGCCAGCAGCTGCATCCGATTTCTTAATGCACAGCTTGATGCCAACTTTATGGGCACTGATTTCGCTTTCGTACATGGGCAGAGCTTTCGGCTTGCGCGCACGTGATGCTCGAGGCGATGTGGTGGCTGACTTGTTTAGTTTCTTGTTGAGCGCCGTTACCAGCGGTTTGCCCGACTTTGGTATGGTGCCATTAACTGTGGTTGACTTTTCCGGTTCCTCAGCTTTTGGTGCTGGCTTATCTGGTTTCTGCTGTAGTTCTGCTTCTGCTACGGGTGACCTCTGACCCTCTGAGGCTGGAGAGCAAGAGGTCGATGTGGCCGTATTCGTTTCATCCGTTTGTGTCTCTGACTTGGGCGGCGATAATATATTCTCTGGTATGGCTGTTGCAGCAGTCGCCCCACTTGAAGCAGCCGATGCTGTTGTTGTTGCACTTGTTTCAGCTGCCAGCAGCTGTGGCGGCGTCTGTGAGGGTGTCGACGGCGTTAACGTATTGATATCCACTGTGGTTACTGAAGAATTAATAGGCTTCACGCTTAAGCATTGCTCGCTTTGTGCCTGCACATTATCCGCATCAGCATCCGCATTCGCATTTGCATCCGCATCCGTGTCCATGGCTGTTGCATCTGCATCGTTATCTTTGGATTCTTTCATGTCAGCCGCTTTCACTTGCTGCTCCTCGCTCTTTGCGACATCATTTGTGGCCGTCGACTCCGTGGTGTTCTCCGTTGTTTCACTCATTTCAGCACGGATTTTCTGAAAATTTAAATTGGCAATAGGTAAATACGTGCATTCATTTTTTAGCGGCCGGAAAATCGATGCAAAACAAACTCAACCCATTTTGGCGGTTTTTCCTAATTCTCTATACGTTCTCATTCTTGAGCGCTCTCCCAACTCAACACGCATTCGTTGAATCTCACCTTCAACAACAAATTACATATGTATTTTTTTGTTTTTATTTTTATTCGTTTGTTCGCTTTTAATAAACAAGTTGTGGTAGGATCGCACCGACACAACTATTACCTGCATACTTTTTCCCCTCAATGTATAAGCACTTTTTTCACTTTTTATTACACGCTAGGCACACTGTTATCGCATGGTGATAACGGAAACTCGTGGAAATTAGCTCCCACACGCATAAATCCCGAAAAACATGTTGATTTTCCACTGACAAGCAAGCGCTGCACTTATATGCCGCGCACTACAATTGCGTGCAGGGTGCAGTAATCGGCATTCAACTCACCACTTGAAGAGAGGTAGGTACACAAATGTATGTTATCTTCGTATACGACTGTTTGCTTCACTTGCACTCACTGCGGTACTATAACAGCGCTCCGGTGTGAACAGTGCGGCACTATGTGTTAGTTTGAATTTGTTCGATTCGGAAGAGATTTTTTCGGTTGGCGTTCATGGAAATTTTTATGTGTTTTGCTATGAAAACTTAAGCATTTACATTTTTGCCAAGCACTAGAGGCACTAAACACTTGTTAATCATGGTATTGACAACGATTTATGCATATTAAACATGCCGATTCAATGAAAACTTATTTTAATCAACTGCAACGACGTAGAAACGAGAGCAGCGATGTTGTTGTCGTATCGATACACGACATCGATAGATTAGTTTACACAAGCCAGTGGGACCAAACTAGATAACGACTAAAATACTAAAAACTCACAAAAGCCGCCATTAATCTAAAACTTAATCACCACATAAATTTAAATGTGTTTACTGTATTTTTTTTTTTTTTTTAAATTCATACACACATTCAGCAGAGCCAAGCACAAAACAAATTGTCTGCGATTACAGATTTGTTTAATATTCGAGATCCAATTTGGCAATCTCGGGTAGAACCGTGAGATCCTGGTGAACCTCCAACCAGCGTTTCGCATGGTATGTTGTCTTCTCAAACGAACGTCCAAATTTGTAATTATGGCCAGGAACGTGACCGGCATAAGTTGGATGCATGCCATGATTGTTATGGTAAATGATGAAGTGTCCAACTGGTGGGCACTTGATAGCTGGCGTTGTCAAATCCTGGCCACAGCACCAGCTATCGCGCTTCTTTTTGTACATGTAGTCGGAGAAGCTGCATAGGGCATTGTGGGTGAGTACCTTGCTCGGCTCACCGAATCGTGTCATGGCCATCGGTATATGAGCAGCATAGCCCTTGATGATGAACTTATCGGCATCATCATCGTCCAGAAAGTGGGGAGTAGTGAATTTGCTGTAGCATAGCTTCTCCGTTGTCGGTGGGCATTTTTCGTCCTTGTTGCCCTTGCAAATGCGCGTAACGGGCAACAAGGGTGCACGATAGGTCGATTGAGGTAGCTACAAGAGAGCAGATGTTATTTACAACCATAAATGATGAAGAGAAAATGCTAACCAATCGCTCATTCCATTTGTGCTCGAACAATCCTCTTCCACTCTCCAGCAAATCTCGGTGACGCAATGTGCGCTTCTCGCAGCGGTAGAGCTGCATCAGCGTCTCGTGTTGAGCGACGCCCGCTGTTGCGGCGGCTACATAGCGTTTGCCCGTCTGCTTGAACATGTTGGGCACGAAGCCCGCATAGCCCGGTATAATTGGATGCTGATACACGGGGTCAACAAACTCCTTGCGATCATGCAGAATCTTCAGCTCACTTTGTGTAGGATAATCCTTGTTATCGGGCTTGGCATCAATGGGCGCCAGAATTAGCTCAGGTGCATGATTACTGCAAGGATCGATAAGTAGCGTGTGCGTCTGTCTGCCGTACGTCTTGCCCACTCGATCGCGGTTCTCAGGACAGTGCCCGGTATAACTGTAGGACGAATTAAAAGGGATGAGCAATTTTAGCAAGCAGCTCGATACACGCACACAAAAACACAAAGATATTTTCTAAGCTAATCATTTGTTTTTATTTATAAGGGAAGATTATGCAAAAATACACAAAATCATAAGCACATAATGTAACGGAGCGAAATTGAGGTGAAGAGAGAGAAATCAGCCGTTACTTAACATTGTACATACATTCGTACGTATTTACATATAAAAAGAGAGTAACACTTTAGCGTTACTGGCAATGGTAAACAGAGAGCAGCTATCTCGCTCGATCGCTCTGAGAGCGAGTGAAAGAGCAGCCTGTCGCACAGACGTTTTGTTGTAATAGTGTGTATTAGAAATCTCTCTTCATGTAGATGTGTGCTGTGGGGTTAGTGATGATAGGTGTATGTGTGGAACTAGTGGCGATAGTTAATCGCTCTCACCCTGGCACCAAGTGCGGCTCTGGAGTCATGCTGTTGTCCATTTTTCTCAAATTGAATTATTGTAACTGCAAATTTGGAAATGTACTTTGTTTATTTAAGAGTAATTGAAATATAACATAAATTTTTTTGTATGAATACGAATATACAAATTTACATAATTATATACATATATAAGTATAATGACAACTAAAACAGCTGCTGTGCTGTTTCAAGCTCCATCAATCTTGATCAGACGCCTGCAATGCGCAGCATTTGCTCAACATCCACGATCTTCTCGCGAAGTTTGCCCTTGGCCTTGCCCGCCTCGCATTCGTGTTGGTCAATCCTGAGCCAACCATCCCAGGTGACTATCCTCTGGTTGGCCACCTCGAAGCCAGGTTTGGTTGAAGCCGTGTCGAAAGCATTCGCTGTTATGTCATCGCAGATGGTTTTGGCAACCGCAAAAGCGCCATTCATAGTGGTCAAGATGACGCCCGTGGGTCCAGTTCCCAGCCAGCCAGCCACATACAGGCCTGGCTCCACACTGCTCCCTTCGCCTTCCTTCAGCACACGCCCCTGATCGTGGCGCACATGGCCACGTTGGGGATCGAAATTGATGGCTGGATCTGCACAGCTGGACTTGTAACCAATGCTGCGCAAGATAAGATCAGCTGGCAGGCATTCCGTTGTATCCGTAGCCACTGCCGCGTTCTCCTGCAGCTGCGTAACAGCAAATTCTATTTCCTTGGCAGAGATGGCTTTCGGTGCTCTCAGGAAGATGGGCAGGAATTGCTTGCCATCTACAGCTGTCGCTGTGCGTTTGCTTTGCTCGCTCAAACTTTTAAGCATTAATTCGGTTAGACGTCGCCTTGGTCGTTGCAGCTGCTCCACCTGCTCGGCTATGCCTGCAGAGCGAATAGAAGAATTTAACTAGATTTTATATTTATAGTCTTTGTAGCCCATACCTGCAAAATCATCTGCTCGCCAATTAGTCGTCACATTGGGCAATTTGAGCATTTCGCGCAGCTCTTTTATCGTAAAGGCAGCTTGCAGAGGTCCACGACGTCCCACGAGATGCACCCTCTTCACTTGACTTCGCGCCAGAGCTTCCAGTGCATATTCTGTGGTATCTGTTGCCTGTGGAGAAAGAATAAGATTAACTAAAATAAAAATAACATATATCTATACCTAATTACCTTCAGTGTGTCTATTGGACTGAGCAGCATGCGTGCCACATCCATAGCCACATTGCCTTGTCCCACAATCGTTACATCACGCCCGCTTAGATCCGGCTGCAGTTGCTCCGCTCCGGGTAAGCCATTGTACCAAGCCACGAATTTGCGAGCGGATATCACGTGTTTCTGCTCCTCGTTCTGTAGCTGCAGCTCACGGTCCTGATCTGCGCCGTAGGTGAGTAGAACAGCGTGGTAGCGTTGCCGCAACTCCTGCAGGCTGACATCCTGGCCAAGGCTAACGTTGCCAAAGAAACGTAAACGCGGATTTTCCGCAGTTTTCGTAAACGTATTGATGACGTTCTTGACCTCCGGATGATCGGGTGCAACACCAAAGCTGGAATGTCGATTTGCATAATGGCAATTGTCATTAGTCGATAAGTGTCAGCGTGTTATCCACATGCAACAGCCATTAAATATAAACGCCCCAGTCAGTTGGCCGCACAAAACGCAATTGTCTCTCGATTCTTCAAGATGTGGACGTCTCGTGCTTTGATTGTGTTCGGCCTAGTAATGTTGCTTTGCCAGCTTGTGGCGGGTGCACCTGGCCCCATATGGAGCTTCGACCAGGTGGGCTGTAAGTAGCAACAAGTGCAGCTCCTCTCTATCTTTCTCGCTACCTCTCACACACCTTTTTCTTCACAGCCTATTTCAATGGCATCTTTCGCTCAGTGGTTGGACCAATCTTTGGGCTGGACGACAATGCCAAAAGTGGCAACAGCACAAGCAACTAGGCTAACTCTCCCCTCTTACCGCACCAATCCAAAAGGCACTGGCAACTTCTCAACGATGTCCACGGTGCAGTCGCTCAGCTGTTTGAGTAAATATTGTGCTGCATAGAAACCGGCTGGACCAGCGCCCACAATACATATCCGTTTTTTTGCCGTCACCTGTTGCACATTTTGTAGCCTAACTGCACTTGTATTTACATTACGACTGTATTTATTTAACGAACTCAAACGCGAATATAACAAATTGCGAGGGAAAGTCATGATTTTCTTGGGAAAAAGCTGCGTAATGGTGAAATCGCCAAAACCAAAACATAGTGCCAGTGTGGCCGTAGTACATTCATGCGATGTGACAGCACTGGCCGCCAGCAGCGAGGTGGCATTTTTAAATGCTAAGTCAAAGCTGTTGAATTGTATTAGATTCTAAATTAAAGTCAAATAGTTTGATATCAAAATTACTCTTAACTTGCTTGCAATTCAACTGCCAGAAACCAAAATTTATATTTCAGCAATTACAAAAGGAAATCGTGAGAAAATCCCAGATCTAAAAACAGCGCCAATGTGACCATTGCACATTAGTTGCTGCACGGATAAGCCGCTTTGGCGGCATTTTTAAATTCCTATGCAATTGACTGGCAATTATATTAAAACACACAATTTAATTATTATATACTTTGCAATTTGTAACGTGCTGGTTAAAGCGAAAATTTTCTGACTTTTAACTTATTTATATTTTGATGCAGGGCAAGCATTTAATCATGGTGCAGAGCTAGCCAGCGTTTAGCGTCAACTGTGGAACGTCCAAAGGTGTAGCCCACCTTAAAGATTTCGCCAGGCACATGGCCGCCATAATGCGGCAACATGCCGATGATACGAGGATAGATGACACCGTTAGTTATGGCAAAGGAGCGTCCGATACCAGCGCTGCGTATGGGCACCCATTCAATGCTGCGACGAAAATATTTATCATCCTTCGGATTGCACCAACCGCCCGAGGGCAGGAAAAAATCAAAGCCACCTAAAGAATGAGCCACAATTAGCCGCAGCCAAATAAACGTGACAGCAAATACCCACGGCTCGAATATGACATTCTCTATATATCAATAATGTGCTCAGTCTGGTCGACCGCTGAAATAGAACTGAAGGCCAGAAATTTTGTTGTTAGTCCCAAAAGTGTCGAAAGCTGACGGCAAAGGCTACGACTAAACGTTTTATTTATTTGTCATGACAACGGTCATGTTTATACGAATTTTGATATATACATATGGTATATCGATGACTTACAATTGCGGTATTTTTGCAACAAGTTTTGGTTTCATCACGTAATGCCCATGAAAGGATAACAAACGGTCTTGTTTAATGGGAAATAAACACGCAAAGCAAACGGAATTTTCTTTCAACTTTCAACTTTTAAATTTTATAATGATTTATATATTGTTTATACGCATAATGGCTACATGTACATTGTGTATAAATTGAATTCATTTACAGGCAATTTATATTTGACGTTATTATTTATCATTTAAAACAAAACTTTTGCAATTTAATATAAATTCAAAAAGAACGATTATTGCGATATATATAGATATATAACTGTATACACTATACGCATATATCTATAGGAAATGGGCAATATATAGAGCCTAGTTTGATTTCTTGCTTTTCTTCTGCTGTTTGCTCCTGAGTTTCTCCTGTTTCTTGAGCTCCTTCTCCGTCAACGATTTGTAGAGCTTGAAGCCAAAGAGAGCTGAAAGAGAAGAAATCGAATGATTATTAGCTATCTTTAATGCGGCTGTATTGCAGGGGCTCGATATTAACCGAAAACCGAGACGATTAGAAATATGATAGCCACCAGAATGGAGGTGGTATAGGCATGGGCGATATGCGTATGCTGTTGCAGCCGCTGCTCGATTCTCGCTATTGCCTCTTGGATGGAGCCCTTCATCTCACTGACAAACTGATGCCGATCTACATCTGTCAGCGAATCCAATTTGCTTTGCAGTTTCCCAATTTTCTGTATTAGATCCTCAGCGAAACGACTGTGCGGCCCGGTCTTGGCGACCAGCGACTCCACAGAGCGCTTCAACTGCTCAATTAGAGTTTCATCATTAGAAGCCATGGCACAAATTTACAACCAAAATTTTGATACGAAAAATTATAATAATAAAATTAAAACTATAGATAGATAGAGAGATAGAAAATAAACGGCATGGCCAACCACGCTGCTCGGACCAAAAACCTTTTATGTTGATTTTCTTGTCTTTATTCATATATATATATATGTGTCTATATAAATATTTTTGTTGTAATTATTTTGTGGTGGATTTCTCCCCCTATCTTATCGAAAATCGAACAGCTATAAAAGCCGACATTCTCAGCAATAATAAATAAGAGCAATGTTTATTTCAGAGTATGTTAACAGCGCACACTATCCGCAGATATCACCAATACACCCATAATTATATACATACATATATTGTGTTTGTTTTAATACCCATTCGTAATGGTCATGTGGAGCATATTGCTTATCTGTAGCACAAACGCCACAACAAATGCCACTTTTTAGTTTAATATTTTTAGAACTTTCAGCTAGATAAGATGCTAGCTTATGCTATCTAGGACCGAAGTTGATCAAGAACCAATTCAACACAAAGACAGACGGAAGAACCAGAGCTATGCTTTATTTGTGAATGAATGCTTCAAGGGATATGTGTATGAGAAGTGGGAAATCCGAGAAGAATTCAGGTAATGCCTAGGCCAATATACCCGACTCTCATTTTTTTTGCTCAGTTGGAGTTTTCACGAATGCGAGGTAGTATTCTCAGCTTACCAAAAACCAGCAAGATGAGCGCTAGCATCACAAAGAATATTATATACTCCTTTGAGCTGTGGCCCGGCTGTCCGTATTTCAATAAATCATCTGGCGACGCTGCCTTCGGATTGAATATGCTCTCGCGCAGCTCGGCCCGTTCATCGTCTGTGATGCCGTCCATGGACTCGACCATTTTCCATATTTCATCAGCGGTGGGCATTTGGAAGCCAGCCGAACCAGGACCTGAGCCCGGGGGCAAAGCGAAGCCCTCATCACCGCCAGCTGCTGCCGCAGCGGCCACATCTTCGGCAAATGCGCGCTGATTCAATGGATCTTCGGCCATCGTTTACGGTTTGTATTGATTTAGCTTTGGCTTTTGACTTTGTCTTTTAAGTTAAGTTTAAGTTAAGTGTGGTACTGCTGGCTTAACGATTTATGGCGTCTGCAAGTTAAAATTTCTTGAGTGCAGGCAAAACAATGTATTATTTAGCTATAGACTAACTAGCACATAACGGAATAACTATTTTTATAGCATGCAGCAGCTTTGTATTTAATTTCAATTTGTTTCTTTTAACTATTTAGCGAATATTTAAATTAAATAAAATTCAATGATTGATGTTGAGCAAAAGAACCAAAAATTCAACGTGGCAAAGAGCAAGACGAAAAAATTTCGCTCACAGCTAAATGCGCGCGTTCATTTGCTCTCTTATGGCACTTAGGTCGCTAACCATCAACAGCAGTCGTGGCCGAGTGGTTAAGGCGTCTGACTCGAAATCAGATTCCCTCTGGGAGCGTAGGTTCGAATCCTACCGGCTGCGAGGTGGATAACTTTTTTTTTTTTTTTTTTTTTAATTTTTTTTAATTTACCATCAAATAAATAAAATGACTATTCACTTTTTATAGCAAACTAACTCACTATTTTTAATTAATTGTGTCCACTTTATATGTTTAAAGCGACGCGACTAACGTTCGGCAGCGTTGTCTTGAACAAACTGAACGTTAAGTGGCAAATCTAATATATAAATTGGAAAAATAAGAACTTATTCGTAATCAGGTGTGCTTATATTTCATTCTATATGATATATACGTGCGGACAGGTAGTTGCTGCGCTTTGTATTGAGTATTGCTTTTATGTTCTTTTTGCTCAAGCGTCAGCATATTTTTTTTTACAGGTAGTTGGGACTCAAGTCAGTAAATAAAATAATAAGAGATAATATGGACTTATCAGCTGCAAGCTTTTACATATATAGAGGGGGTATTGGCTATATTCTATAGGCTATGGGCATGCATAGTGTTAAAGTGCTAGCTAATTAGACGCGAAGATACAAATGGAAATTATAACTCGAATCTGGGCACGTGTTCAGCTCCCCCATTAACATTTTCTCTGCGGGCTACCAAACAATTCGTAGTGCCGCCCTTATCGCTGCTAGCTTATCATTTTCAATTTTTAACAGCAAAACTTTTGTATACGTCCTCAAAAATATATTAAAAAGAACAAGATAGGTATGCTAAGTACACGTAGACAATAAAAATAAAAAAATATGCATTTTTGAAAGCTTTGACAGATACTAAAAACCACATATACATTTATTCCAATCAGCATGAAGATAACGGCATTTCCAATCAGCTTAGCAGTGTAGAAAACAAAGGCAGACACATGGAAGAGGGACGAGGGACGGTGGAGCGAAGTAGTTCAATTCTAGTTAGATTTAGAGTGGTGAAAGTTTTCTTGTTTTTGTCTTTTACTTTTGACCCACATAACAGTAGTGCGTCTGTCATAATGGTGTGGCGGATGTGTATAGTCGGATGTACAGTTCATTTTATTGCATGCATGACGCAACAAAACGCATCCCTATGTTATGATGCATTAACTAAACCAACTCACCTGCTAATCCAAAAACAACAACGGCCGGCACATAGAATGCAAGATTTGGTATGGACTGCTGGAACGGTGAGCCGGCATCGGTTAAATCGACCATTGTGTGTAAATTAAAAAGAAATTATATTTTTCGGATCACTGGGTAACTAATGCAGCTTGGCAGGCTGTTTCTATTGTGGCGTATGTCACAGTTTAAGTTTATCTCAGAAATTGCCGAAACTCGACTCAGATGAAAATAATTTAACTGGCGTTGCCATCTAACTGAAAAACAACAAGGCTGCCACGCGACGCAAGTTTGTCTGGTCGCAGTGCCGTTAACGTCACGTAAAACTTTTT